GCAGGCCCAGGGGAGGGGCGACCTGCGCCGGGCACCCGGGAGTCCCGCCCCGCCCCCGCCGCCAGAGGTCAGAGATTAAAGATTAACTTGGGGCGGCGCGTTCCTGGGAGGGGGAAAGGGTCGGGGAAGGGGGAGGGGGAGGGGGCAGCAGGCCCAGCCGTGTGACCTCCCTCCCTACCTGGCCCAGGCGTCTCCGATCTCGCTGAGTCCCGGTCCCGGTCCTTCGCCCGAACTTTCGGTGCCTCGGTCAGTAGCTCGGTGGGACTCTTCCAGCTCCGCCCGCTCACGTGACCCGGAAAGTTTAGTCACTCACCTGGGAGGGGAGCACACTTCCGGCTTGTGCACCTGAGCCTAGATGAGAAGGCGGGGCCAACGGGAGGCGGGGCCGCGCCGCGAACGCACCTGTAACGAGAACCCAATCCTGTAATGCAGAGGATTAAAAACGGGCGGAAGCGCGCAGGTGTAAAACGTGCCTCCCATCTGTATTGAGAGCATGCCTGTTGGATCGGACAGGTGTGGGGACACACGGGGCATGGAGACACCGGTTTAGGAGGCACTCCTGTCTGAGGCAGACCGGGATGGGGAGCCTCAAATGAAAAACACTTGTGTAGGGCACACCTGCATGCGAGCAAACGTGTATAAAAGGCATCTGCACGGATGTGTGAGAACACCTATGGGAGACATCGGCTTTGAATCACATCTGTTTGGAGTATAGCTGAAATAGAAACATACCTGTGTGGAACAGCTGTATAGAACACACCTGCAATATAACACACGCCTGGCTGAGGCGGTTTGGTGGAGGGTACATCTGTTTTTGAATCGCATCTGCAAGGCTCACCTATGAAATGAACAACACTTGCATGAGGAATTCCTGTATGGAAAGGCACTGGACACACTTGTATGAGACCGACACTCTTGCAGTGAAGTACACTTGGGGGGACCCAGTTATAAGGAGACAGACCCAAATGGGTGAATACTTAAATGGAACACACCTGTGGTGCGGAAGGCTGTATAACGCATTCCTGGGTGAGGAAACACCTGTTGAGAAATATATCTGTGAGGTGAAGGAAACAACCTTGTATGAGGAACATCTGCATAAAACTGAGCTCAAATGAGAGGAAAACCTCAGAACACCTGCATGAGGCACTCACATCGAAGCACATGGGGGCGCGTGTGTATTGAGGTCCACCTATCAGGGATGTATTTGTGAAAAAACACTTGTTTGGGGCTTCTCCGTGGGAAAATATCTGTATCTCTCATATTGTAGGGCACCTGCAAGGACCACCTGTGAATGAAAACATCTGGGAGGGGACCCTCTGTAAGAGGCTCGTCTGTCTGAGACACACCTGTTTGAGCACACCTGTCTGGACAGAAGCTGAGTGGAACCGTATGAACCTTCAACGGCTGTTTCTTTGGATAAAGGACGATGACAAGACGACCCCCTCCTGGGTACTCTAGAGTGAAGAATGATGGTTAAGGAAAAAATAACCCCTTCTAGGGTATAGAGCGATGATGAGTAAGAATCCCAGGTCTGGTTAAATGTTTGCTTTGCCCCTTACTGGGCATGTGGACGGGGTTGGGGGAAGAGGGGAGCGGCTTAACCTCCTGTTTCCTCATCTGGGAAATGGGAAAGCGAGTCCCACCTACCTTACAAGGTTTTGGTGAGGACCACTTGAGAGATGAGTAAAAGGCATGCCTTGTGCAACGCACTGTACTGATCATTGTTAGCTATTGTCACTATTATTCGCTGTCAAAAGATCTGGGCGCCCTTCCCCCTAATGGTGAATCGCGAAACTGCGCCCGAAACTAGTGGGAGGGAGGTTCGGCAGGTGCAGCTAGCGCGACAGGCTGAGGCCCCGCCTCCAGAGCTCGGTTACTCGGTCCTCATCCCCAGCCGCCCCCAGGACACTGACACCCCTACTATGCCGGAGAAAGCAGTTAGTTTAGCGTCTGCATCCGGCCTAGGCCCCTTTAAGACTGCAGGCGAGCCGGGGGCCACGGCGCCTAAAGCAGCGCGGGGTCAACCGGGAGGCCCCGCCTAGGTGGGTGGGCGAGGCGGGACCGACGGGCGCAGCTCCTGCAACTTTGGCCAATAGGAAACCGACTTTGCAACCGCGCCGCGCGTTGATCTTCCGTTTCCCAGTCTGAGTGAGACCGAGAAAGAAGGCGCGCGGGCAGGATGAAAGCATTGAGGGAGAGCACGGCGTCTTGATCTTCTGTTCCTGTGGCCAGGTAAGGAATGTGAAATGAGCGGGGTGGCAGATGGAGGACTAGATGGCGCAGAGTTGGTTATTGAGTACGTCTAGGAAATGTGAGAACTTTAGTTCCTGAAGAACATTAGTAGAAAAGGGATGTCAAATAGAAAGGGATTACGGAATCCGGTTCCTAACATCTCCCTGCATCCCCCCCTTGGCCAAAGGATAAACCGAGGCACGTAGAAGTGGAGCTCTGAAACCAGACCTGAGATCATTGATCTCTCTAGCCCCCTCTTCTCAGAATGAACCCTGGTGCTCCCTAGGTTGTGCTAATACCAGAGGATCCCTGGCTGCAACCCCCCCGCCAGCTCCGCCCCCGGCCCCCTTCCCCCAGTGCGGGTTGGGGGAGGAGACGCAAGTTCCTGGAGCGGGCGCGACGGCTAGCAGGTCACCGCGTGGAACATATGCC